CCAGTAACAAAGCATACCTAATTTGTTTTTTATTTATACTCCTGGGTATGTGGTNAAAGACTAGGTAAAAAAGAAACATTTGGTCTAAACAATACTTTATTGCTAAATACCACTGCATCCTTACATAATCGGTTTCAGTTGTACATTTTCTAGTTAATAACAACTCGCCATCGAGAATATTTTATTTTGATACAATTTACATATAAATACGAGTGTCCCAGAATATCGGTAAAGGTGTTAAAGCCAGTGTCGAGTATTGCGTGTTTTACGGATACCCTCCGAACACTCATATCGGAATGTCGGCAAAGACTTGAACCGGCAGTATGTAGAATAGAATAAATATCGTTGAGAATATAACTGAAGGACCAATTCAATAAACACCCACAATTTCCAGACGTTTCCATATAACCCATCCAAAAAGAACGTAGATCCAAAATGTCAATTTTTGGTCCTTCGAGCCGGATGTTTAGTTCAAGGCGGCGGCACCAGAGATGATTTCGATCAGCTCTCTGGTAATGACAGCCTGTCGGGTTCTGTTGAAGGTGAGCGTGAGTTTGTCGATCATCTCTCCGGCGTTCTTGGAAGCGTTGTCCATAGCCGTCATGCGGGAAGATTGTTCGGAGCACGCACCTGGGAATGAAGATTGTTTATCAGTGAGCTGCCATTAATGATAATGAGGTTAAATGATTAGTCACCGAGTAATTGCTGTATTTTATTATTGATTTATCAAAAAGCTGACAGTTCCATTTTCCTGTTTTTACGGGCTTGACTAATTTTCAAAATTATTCAAGAGCCACACTGCGACTTTTAGAAGATGAATGCAACGACCACACATTCTACACCGCACACTTAAGAAGCTTGACGCGGCGATAGCAGGCAATAAATTAAATACTAAATACGCGCGATTCCGATACCGCGTTCGAACGAATGAAATCGCGATGCTGCATCGGCGATTTTGTCACTGTATCGACAAAATCGCCGATCGCTAATGCTTAAAGTAGATGACTGTGTGCTGTGGCTCTTACTGGTATCCAATAAATATTACACCAAAAATTAATATGTTCTCCTAGCAAGATAAAATTAAGTTAAAGTTATGTAAGGACAGATAGCAGTGTTATGTACCTTCTTTGAGTGCGTAGAAGACCATGGAAGCGAGCGAGAACTCCATGTAGGATTGGATCACGTCAGCATCCAGAGAATCGTATGTTGCCAGCTTGGGAGCGCCCTGGAAACGAAAACATTCAGTTCATAAAAAAGCTGGTCTAATCATGTGCCAAAGAATAGCAAGTTGGTTGTGACTTATAAAATGTTGGGCAGGATTTTGTTGAATCTAAAAGAGAGTAGAATTTTATTTTTGTAAATATTGACTATTGTCAAGGAGATAATAAATATAAGGAATTAAGGAGATACGTATCTATCTAAAAGAAGGAAACTTTTGGTTAAGCTATTCTAAACTGTAAGCAGTCAGGGGTCTTTATTACGACACTAGTATTAATTTAATCTACTCTCAAGACAAAAATCAAACATGCGATTCGTCGTCGGATTTCAAATTTGGTACCATATACTTGCTTGGCACAAGTCTAGGACAAAAACAAACATAGTTTGTCATCATGAATGCTGCTATTTATTTGATTTAGTGACCTCTCTGTCTGTAGGTCACTGATTCCCGTTTTCACCATCAATCCATATTTTTAAGTGACCCCCTATTATTTTATTTTCAAATGGGTCACTTAAAAATTAGGGATCTCTGGATGTTAGTGTAACTTTGTTAGTTTTTAGAGCTCACCTCAACAGCCTTCTGGCTGTACAACGGCAAATCGGACTGCATGTACGACACGACGGACTTGAACTTGTTGTAGATGATCTTGCCGGAGCCGAAGTCGTAGCCCGACGTCAGTATGCCGCTGGCGATCTTGGACGCGTCCATGAAGGTGGGCGGGAGGCGCCCGATCTGAGGACGGATTGTTTATGAAGAGGTTGTTGGTTCTTATCCTGATTTCACGCCTGCGAGCCTAGTGCAGAAGTTGTGGTTATTACTACTAGGAGAAATTCTGTCTGTGAATAAATATCCGGCTCGAAGGACCACGTGAGTATCCGGCTCGAAGGACCACGTGAGTATCCGGCTCGAAGGACCAATCGAGTATCCGGCTCGGAGGACCATACTCGTATCCTGCACAATATATGATGCCCGTTTATAGAACCAAGACAATAAAGTTTATGCTAAAATTTATTTATAATATGCACAACAGACATCCCATTTATTAAACCAAGACAGAATAAAGATTTGGCAAAGATAGCTCACATAAAGTAAGACAGTTTCATTGATGAGTAGTGTATTGCAACAGAACTCATAACAGGTTAAATATTCTCCAATGGCTGCACATATTTTGTACATCTGCAAACATCCTTGAGAAATGTCTGTGACCAGTAAATAATAAATAAATAAATATCCTTGGACATTTACACTGCGCTTCTATTCCCAAACTAAGCAAAGCTTGTACTATGGGTACTAGACAACGGGGTATAAACATACTTAAATACTTTTTTTTGGGCATGTCGCCTGTTCGCGTCTTAACTATTTACTTCCAATACTTTGACCTTACCTCGTTGCACACACTGATGATGTGCTTCCCATACAAGCGCTGCAGGATACCGCGCGACTTGTCGCCCACGCAGATGACCTTGATGTTCTCCGCGCCAGGCTCCTGAAGCCTGAGGCGAATCACCTTGGAAACACCAGTGTGCACCGCGCCGCAAAGACCTGGGAAGATCATCACAAGGTCATTTATGCCCGTTTTCACCATCAATCAATATTTTTTAAGCAACCCCTATGGTTACACATAAATTATGAATTGTGTTTTCATAGGTGTCACTTAAAAATTAGGGATTGATGGTGATAATGGGCATTAGTCTCCAATACAGAAAGAAGAATTAACGTCAAGATGATGAGCAGCTTATACAGACTCCCACATTTGATACTTATATCTGTAAAAATCTAGACAGTAGATTAGTATGAACTCATTTATTGGGATTTAGATGTTTAGAAAACATTTCATTTCTTATTTTCTTACTTTTATCTGATAATAACTCCTGGTATAACTGGCAAATTGAGTTTTTATTCTGAGATTAATATTTACTTGTTTGGTTGAATCCACGATGATGACCAAGGTGGACTTACCTCTGTCAGAGGTGATAGCAACATACAGTTGCTTGGGCTCATCTTCTGGAGCAGCTACCTGCAGACAAACACATTCATGTTGAAAAATAATAACTGCACAACCATTTTGTTGTAAAAGATACACCGAGGGTGTTGTTTCAAACTAGTCTGAACTGGTACTTCTTATCTCTGAAAATACAAGTCTGTCGATACATCAGGTATATTCTTTACTAATTCTCAAGTCTTTAATGGCTGTTTTTCCAGCAACTTATTGTACTGGCGTATTAACACTTATAAGCAAGAAAAGTTAACATTTGGTTTAATCTTACCTCTGCCCTCTCGTAAAACTGCACAGCACCCTCGCCGTAGGGGCGAGCGGCCTTCAAGTCACGCTCAGCGCGAGTGTATCTAAAAAAACACATTTTGTTTTAAAAAATGGGTATTGTTACATAAAAGTAACGTTTATTAAATCTAAACGAATTTAAGTAACAATGATCCAAAATTCTACTTAATTAGTGTTAATAATTCAATCCTTACCTACACCTTACATTGTACTACATTCAGCAAAATACCCAGTTGAAATTGGTACAAATTTATATTTTAAGTAGGAAAGGGATTGTGCAGGTACTTGATTCACTATACCAAAGTGCTTCACTGTGTATCCATATTCTGAACATAAATTAATATCCTTCAACTGTTTTTAACAAGTGAAAATGTCAAAACTAGGCATTCCATAGAAGTTCCAATTCAAAACTTATTCAGCCAGTAACAAAGCATACCTAATTTGTTTTTTTTTATACTCCTATGTGGTGACAACTTATCTTACTGGCTAGTTACATGGTTTTGATCATCCTCATCCAAAATCCTACAAGGACACTTCACACACATTACAGCAGTGTTGAAACCGCCCAGAAACTCACTTGGCAGCTGACACCATTTTCATAGACTGGGTGATCTTCTGAATGTTCTTTACCGACTTCAATCGAATAGAAATGGCCTTCAATGTGGCCATGTTACGGTTCTGCTGGTTGTTAACCACAGCAACCACTTGGGTGCACACACCCGGCCCGAAACGACCCAGCATTTTTGCGGCTTCTGCGAAAAATAACGAGAAAATTGATTTATGAACAGGTTATGTCCTCCAGACTCCCAAGTTATGTAAGAAGGTTGGACTTGCTGTTATCAAAATATTTTCACGTAATGTACAGCACGGAGCACCGAAAAAACAACTGAGCACTGATTGGTAACGCAAAATTAACGTAAATAAAAGGCAATTACTAACTTTTGTGGGCTTTTTTTAGTAAAAATCACCAGCCGACGAAAAATGTCGCTGGCTGAAAACGTCTGATGTGGGATGCCAGAAAAAAAAATAAGTGAACGCACCGTTTTGGTTAATATATTCAGCTGTAAAAAAAATCTACTGAAAATTAAATACTTTGTTACCAAAGCTATAAAATCAATGCTAAAGGAAAAACGAAAATTAAGAAAATATTTAGATACAAGGAAAATATTATAGCTACACATTTTAAAAACAATTTTTAATGTTTCCAGAACGCAGCAATCTGTGATGACGTTTGGAAATGTTTCGTTTAGCGGAATTTTCATAACATAATAAGGATTGTATGAATAAAAATAAGTGTCCACATCACAAAACGTTATTCTTTTTATTCATTGTGTATTTGTTGTAAATTAAAACTATAAATAATTACTAGATTAAAAGTGAAACTCAAACGTCAAATAAAACCATCAGATAATCCTGCAACGGAACGTTTCATAAGCCAGCCAAATTAAAAATACCCCAAATTAAACGAAACAGGCCAGATATACAAGCATTTATTTTTGGCAGAATTATCTAAAACTGACAGCGAAGAGTGACTAATTTTTCATTTGTTTTTGTTAAAATTTAATTAGATTTTAGAGCATTTGGTATACTTTTCAAGATGCCTACTCCAGAGAAGAACGTAATGGGAAACCCAGAACAAATTCAGGAGCAGCCAACACGAGAAATAAGTCAAACAGATCATCTGAACAAGAAGCTTCTGACTTCGTTGTTCAACAGGATGAATGATGGTGAAGACTCCAATTTAAATAAAATGTTGGAGCCCGACAACATTTCAGAAGACGACGACGAGTGGAAGGAGTAATTTTAGCTGTATTCTTGTAAATAATTTACCCAGTGTATGTTTATACAAATAAAATGCTTTAATTGTACCAACCTTATTTTAAAAATATATATCATATTATTAATTATGTACACAAGCTTAGATACTACATACTTACTTCTCCTGTCACACTTTCCATGTCTCCTTTTCCAAACAAGTGTTTCAGGTCGTTGTATAAATGCACTATAATGTGATTCTATCTGTTACTGTAAAAGCTCGAATTGCAGTAAATCCTAAGATATTCCAGTAAAACCTAAGATCTACCAATTTCTAATGGTAAATGTCCCAAAAGGTTTGCGATTCGAACTCTTACCACCATTTCGTTGGTCAATCTTAGGATTTACATTAATGGCACGGTAAATGTTGAAAAACAAAACATGTCATAACGTGCTCAGCGCATCTCATCATCATCATCATCATCAGAAATTACTTCAATTGGAAAAAATCGAATCTATCTTAATATTGAAGTTGCCCTCTTTGTATTTCTAGTCGCTCACTTAGTAATGTAGTCGCACGGACAGAATTTTAATATCTAAAATGGATTAAACATAACCCACTTTTTGTAAGCTCGTTCTGCATTTGATTATATTAATCAATATTCGAATTTTTCGCTTACTCAAATTCATACCGCTCAAGTTATTAAAACAGTAAGTATCATCAGTCGCTTAGTTATTTTTTAGTCGATCGTGTTATAATTCCCCATAAAGAATTAGTCATTGTTTTATTCCTAAAACCAACATCTACCAGCTGACAGATGTAAAACCTAGCATATACTGAATTCGAATGGTAAAAGCTCGAAAAAATCGTCGTATTTTCAGAAATACTTACATTTACCAACTCATGTCGGTAAATCCTAAGACTTACACTTAAATCTTAAGATTAACCGTAGTTCGAGCTTTTACAGTAACATATCGATGAGTTTTCAAACTGCTTTGAAATAACAATAGCATAGTGCAAAACTGAACACTTAAGTAAGTAGGTCCTTTGAGAGTGAAGAAGTGGTGGTATGTTATAAATGTGAAGACACAGTTGTGTTCATGTATGAAAATCTAAAATTAATATAGGTACCTTTAGTATTTTATAGGGACTTGGATTTTATCATAGAATTTTAATATAAAATAGATATACAAGATTTATTGAAGTTATATTTTTTATAATATTTTGTTTTTACGTGCATGTTATAGGTACTTGGGCAGCATTAAAGAAAACCAAATGATTGGAAAGGAAATCAATCAGTACACTAGTAGGTAGGAATAACACAATAGGATTGATAGCCCGACGACGCTGAGTAAAGTGGGGCTACTAGCTCCCAAGCGCCTGAGTTGGGACGAGGAGGGGACGGTAGCGCCGCGCCTGCTGTGGTGCCCGCCCGCGCGCACTAGGTACGCCGCACACGCGCCCACCACTCGTGCGCGGCGCCTAAGGGGCCGTTCAAGTATTACGTAAGCAGATTTCTTACCATTTTTTACCCCCCCGCCCCCCTTGTCATCAAAAGTAAGCAAAGCACTTACCCCCTCCCCCTATGCTTACGTAAACATTTTAGTTATAAATGTTTTTTATATTGTCATTTTTAAAATAGGAAAATTCATGAAACTATTAGGTTTAACTGATACACATAGAGTAAGGGACAAAAAAATATAATCAGANATAAATATTTTTTAAAATATAACAAACCAATAACGATTGCTTTTCAATGTAATAAAAGTGACTGAGTTTCTTCCACTACTTCGTCTCATTACCAGCCGATATCTTGTCTTGAAGTGCTGGTAGGGTAAACTATATTTGGAACATGTATAAGTGAAGTGAAAGCTATTTCACTATAACTCCAAGAAGAACATTATTGAACTATTTAGCCTTTTCTCTAACCCTATAAGAAAAACCTTGATTTTTTGTTTTCCTTAAACAGTAATAATCACAATTACCTTCACAATTACTTCACAAATCAAGGAAATTTTCAACAATTAATTTTAATTTTCCTCTAAAACCTATATTTTTCACGCTTCCTTCACAGACCAGCAAATCGTCCCACCAGTAGTAAACTCTTTGGAGCTAAAGTCCTCCCCTGCTGAAGACCTGTCCCAGTACATCATCAGACCGCTAGATGTCGCTGCCAGTGCTCAGGGTTATAAGGAAACTGTCTGCCATGATGGCTTCTGCTGCGAATTCTATGTGAAGATGGCATTTGATGGTGAGAAGAATTTTCTTTTACTGTTTTCATTAATTATCCGTGGCCTAAAGATGTTGGATTATGTCAACGTAAAATTGTGAACTCCGTCAGTTTATAACGCATGAGATTGTAAGCTATCAGTTAGTTATTATTGTACTTAATCTAATTACGTCAGATTACAGATCAGATAGATATAAGAGTAACATGTATTATTTTGGGATATTGCATTTATTTTTATACTTGAACCCATGAGTCTTATGACGTTTCGATCTGGCCCAATTCTTTTAAAAGTTATTTTTGATGATGAGATTTGGCCCACCCTATTTAGGTTTCTGCCTATATTTTCATCATGATGGCTTTTTCATTATCACAGCAGGATCATGATCCTCTCTAATTTCATCATCATCATCATCAACAGCCCTTTACAGTCCACTGCTGGACTATGAGCCTCCTCCACTATAGTGGAGGGTTTTGCCATAATCTCCACGCTTGGCAGGCGGGTTGGAGATCGCAGTTTAAAAGATTGATGTTTTTTCAGAGAGCGCTGCTGCCCATTCTCTGTTTGATGTGTAGTCCCTAAGTCGCCTCTTACGACACCCTCTCTAATTTGCCGAAGGCAAATAGAAAAATTCGCAATACTCCCTAGACGGTTTGAGAAAGTTGACTTTGTCCTCTTCATCATAATTTCAGCCACAGGACGTCCACTGTTGAACCATAGGCTCCCCCCATGATTTCGATAATGACCGGTTGATAGCGGCTTATATTAGTAATAAATTGTGAATACCTTGTGTATAAATATGTTCATTCTAATATCCATAAATTTCTTCACCCAGGGCCCAAAGAAGACGTGAACTACGGCTTGGCAGCGTTCAACGGCGTCCGCCATTTTGACCACACTCACAACATCGGCTCGCAGACTTGCGCCGTATTCGCTTGCGCTGGCTTGTACAAACGAAGCTGTTCTCTTGGGTAAGATTTACTTGACTTTCTTTTGTCAAGGCCTTTTTAATAATTACTGCTTGATTTATTAAAATCAGACAAGCTGTTACTTTTGGTCAAAGATTGCTATGAATATTTTTCGCTGGAAGACTATGGGAGGAGACTATGTTTTGGAGAGGCTTGTGATAATGAAGTATATTTGACCTTATTAATTTTGACAAACAGCAATGATGATTAAAATTTGATAAAGATCTAACTATCCGTCATCCACTATGAAAAGATTTAGCTTCGATTTCCTCCTAATTTCTTCTAATTCTGCTGTATCTTTAATGATAATTTTATGTTTTTATCTTGTATATTAAGAGTTAAACTGTACTGTGGGAAAAGTATGCTCAAGTCAATCATGTTTTTATGAATGCCTAAGTTTTTTAATTATTGTTTTATCCTTTTCCAGGTCTCAAAACAGTACAAACGTAAAGTTCGAGAATATCTCCATCACCGCTAACTTTACCGAAACCATACAATACCCCATTATATTGACGACAGGCTCTAAAATTGAGCCTGAAGCCTTCAAAATGGCCGCCAACAGTAAACAGGTGACTTTAGAAGTTACAAATGCAGACAACTTGCTAACTTTCGGCATTTTCGGCAGAGATTTCTCGAAAGACTCGAAGAATTTCGTCCTAAACGATTCTGGATCGATTTACGATACGATAAATGAAGAAATGACGGAGTTATTCGATTATCTTTGGATCAGATTGAGGGTAGTTCTTATTATCGCCTCCATTTATGTATTGGAGATGTTGTAAGCTATTTTTTCTTATAGTGCATTTATTGTGGAATGACGCTTATGTGAGTCTTCATTCAAGAATGGATTTAAATGTTATTAAATTTGAATTGAGTTTTGAGCGTCGTTTTAAATTATGAAAATACGTGCCAGATTCAGGGCCGTATTAAAACACTTAAAACTTGTGTCCGATATTTGTGTATCGTCCTGTAACGCACATAAATGTGTTTTTAAAACTTGATTGCTTTGATCAGAGGCATTACTGATTAATCTGTTTAATCAAGATATCGAAAATAATTTATCGTTTAAATTACTTGCTCAAGTAAAAATTTTGTGTTCCACTTTGTCACACACATTAGAAACACATGTTGTCTAATGTTCTAATCTTTAGTTGTTATTATGTTTTAATACATTAATATTTGTACCAGTTACAAAGTTAATATTATGCTGTTTAAAATTTGTAAATTGAATGTGGTGGTTATAAAAACTAAATAAATCCCACCGTATAATTGCCATCATGATTTGCTGAAAAATGCGTTCAATTTTAGTTTCATCTACTTAAAATAACTTTTAATAGGTGATGAGAAAAATATTTATTCTATCTCAAAATAATCTTAGTACGCTCCTGTATAAAAAACGTATAATAAAAGTTATCGCAACAGATAATAATTGTAAAAAATATAGATTAACAACTCTTTGTTGTTACGATAAGCATAGGTACTATTAATAATTATTATAATATCTATTTTATCTATTTATCTTTATGAAGAAATTTTAATATGGGATCATTGAATTTTATTCCACAATTTATCAGCATTTAGAATTACTACAAATTTAATAATTTTATCGTATTTGTTAATGCATGACTGAGTATTTTATAAGTTTGATACTTTAAAACAATTTTCTGTGTGAGAAAAATTAATGATATTTTTTTACGAACAAAAAAAGTCGTGAATATGTAAGAATTTTATATGATGTAAAATTTATTCTGTTTGAAAATCTTAAAATATTTTTGGATTTAAATAAAATAGCTGGAAATCACGACACTGATACTGTGATATTAGAATTACGCATGGTGTGATGATTATTGTAATAAATGTTTTTACATAATTTAAATTCAAGTCTTTTTATTTTATTCATAAAGTTATTGTCATCTTCAGGTCATTTCCACCCGTATTCACAAACATTACTATGAGGTCTCACATCGACGCACAGGGTGACACCCGAACCAATCACAGACCTCTATCAACACTGTGCGTTCGATTTGCTGTTTCACTTAAGGCGATTAGAGTCCTCAATGACCTTGGGCGTTTGACCTTCACGCCGCGAGCAACACCCGCGCACCCCGCACCAAAAACTCCGATTTGACACCGATCAAAAATACACGGGCATAGGTAGGTACAGAATAGAAGCTCTTTCTTCACACATTACTGCCTATTATTTTAACCTTAAATTGATGAACCTTGATGTCGGTGTCATTTAACTCAGGCGTAAAGGTATTTAANAAAAAAAAAAAAAAAAAGGGTTAAACGAAATAGGCCAGATATACAAGCATTTATTTTTGGCAGAATTATCTAAAACTGACAGCGAAGAGTGACTAATTTCATTTGTTTTTGTTAAAATTTAATTAGATTTTAGAGCATTTGGTATACTTTTCAAGATGCCTACTCCAGAGAAGAACGTAATGGGAAACCCAGAACAAATTCAGGAGCAGCCAACACGAGAAATAAGTCAAACAGATCATCTGAACAAGAAGCTTCTGACTTCGTTGTTCAACAGGATGAATGATGGTGAAGACTCCAATTTAAATAAAATGTTGGAGCCCGACAACATTCCAGAAGACGACGACGAGTGGAAGGAGTAATTTTAGCTGTATTCTTGTAAATAATTTACCCAGTGTATGTTTATACAAATAAAATGCTTTAATTTACTACATACTTACTTCTCCTGTCACACCTTCCATGTCTCCTTTTCCAAACAAGTGTTTCAGGTCATCGTATAAATGTATCACTATCCCTACTATAATGTGATTCCATCGATGAGTTTTCAAACTGCTTTGCTATGTAATTTAACCTTTTCAACGCCAACGACGGATACATCTGCCTTAAAAATGATGGCAGTAATAGGCTAATTGAGTATTATGTAAACTGAATAATTTATCAAGCGTGGCGTCAGAGTGATGGCTTTTGTATTTGACGTGGCGCTGAAAAGGTTAATGTGGACTGAAATTGTTACAAATTACAGGCACAGCAATAGCATAGTGCAAAACTGAATACTTTAGTAAGTAGGTCCTTTGAGAGTGGAGAAGTGGTGGTATGTTATAAATGTAAAGACATAGTTAAGGTGGTTATGTGCTCATAATATGAAAATCTAAAATTAATAAACTTTTAGTGTTTTATAGGGACTTTGGATTGTATTATATAATTTTCATTAAATATACAAGATTTATTGAAGTTATCAAATTATTGGAAAGGAAATCAATCAGTACACTAGTAGGTAGGAATAACAGTTGCCAGATGATCAGACCACACAATTGGTTCAGCTATCTCCCACATAACAGCTTAAGGTTCTTGCTATACAAGCAAGGTCCTTAGAAATATTACGCTTTGAAGTAATTTTAGGTAACACAAATAAAACACACAAGAAACAGTAACTTGAATAATATTTTTATTATGTACTACACGAGTTATAATGAGGAATGTTCTTATTTACATAGCTTTTGCATTTCATTAACTCCAATATAATTATTTTATTGAACATTTATTTTACAGTTACCATCGGATTGATATACATTAAACTACTGTGTCGAACGCAACTAAATAATACTGGAAATAAATTATGTTGTGACGTTTACAAGAATTTCAAGTAAACCGTTTCAAGCAAAGCTTTTACACAGAGAATTATTGCGTTACAACTTCTATTCAATGGCATCTTATTTATTTATAAATAACATACATATAAACAGGACAAATTCCTATTTCAACAACCTGCTTCATAATATTTAACACACAAAATTAAAATGTCAAAAAAATCAAAATGTAGATTATTAAAACATCAAAAAATCTGTACATAGAAAAATATATTGGAAATATATAATATACGATTTTTTTTACAAGGGAACCAAGGGTTTGGTAAAATATAATTTGTGTTTACAATTTGATATTTGTGAAATAAAACAATATATTGTACAACGAAGATTGCAACTATTGCTTAGGGCCTCCGGCAGAGCTATGCGCAACCTGGTAACAAATATATACCTGAAATTAATAAAACAATTTACATATCAGCAAGGTAAAGGGTTTTAGTAAAAAAAAAATAATCAGTAACGTTACTAATACCGTTATTTTTTAACTTGAACAAACAACACCAAAAACTTGTACGTAGCTTGCTGACTCCATATTCCTTTGCATATGAAATCGAGTTTTATTTTACAGTAGACAGTAATATTCGTGATAGTAATACGTCGCTCCGTAAGATTTCGAATTTCAATCTGCCACCAATATTACTTTATTTATAGACACGGTTATTGTGTTATTACTCACTTAACAGCGAGTTATTTATGTAGGAGGACCTATCAAATGACTTATTAACCGATAACTGTACCCAACGTAGCGCTTATAACGATAACGTTACCGTTACTCACCTAACAGTAATAGTCGCGTGCAGCCTAGGCCGCCTTCTCTATCATGTCGATGATCTTGATCTTGTAGAACACGTACGGGTAGATTTACCGATAACGTTACTCCGTTATAACGTTACCGTTACTCACCTAACAGTAATAGTCGTTTGCTTAACATGCTACTTTGTTTAAGAGGACAGACTTATTAACCGATAACGCTACGCCGTTATAACGTTACCGTTACTCACCTAACAGTAATAGTCGCGTGCAGCCTAGGCCGCCTTCTCTATCATGACTGTCGATGTTGATCTTGTAGAACACGTACGGGTAGATTTACCGATAACGTTACGCCGTTATAACGTTACCGTTACTCACCTAACAGTAATAGTCGCGTGCAGCCTAGGCCGCCTTCTCTATCATGTCGATGTTGATCTTGTAGAACACATACGGGTAGATTTACCGATAACGCTACGCCGTTATAACGTTACCGTTACTCACCTAACAGTAATAGTCGCGTGCAGCCTAGGCCGCCTTCTCTATCATGTCGATGTTGATCTTGTAGAACACGTACGGGTAGTATTCCGATTGGCCGAAGCCGAGCCCGGCCAGCTCTGCGCTCTGGAACAAATAAAGAGATTGTTTTGTGAATTTATTCGTTATTATTTTAGTATTAAGTTCATCATCATCAGATGATTTAGTCTCCACTCCACTGCAGAGGAACGCTTCATTCTTATTTACTAGAGGGAAATTCCGCGCTTGTTACTTCTCTGATTAGCAGATTTGACTGAGCAGCGGCTTGGAGCAGATCGTGACCGCTATCATATTTATTTATATTAACCGGCAGACAGTGGTGACTCAGCACTTGCCAAATGTTGGTCTCGAAGCGCTGGTAGGGTAAAAAGATTATGAGATATGTAGAGGCAAAATGACGATTTGTAAGAAGTATTTATTAGTCTAAACAAATAAAGAAATCTTGACTTTGACATATTACGGGCCAGGGGTCCTGTTTCACCAGGACCGTGAGGGGGAAAAACCCATATGAAAACAACAGGAGGCGTAACTAGGGTTATCTTTCAGACGGGAGCTGGCCTCTGACATGCCATGTCTGATGGATACGATTAAAGCCCGGTTTGCGAGCACGTAGAATTTTGTCCAATGACCCCAAGCTACCCATCCTTATCGCTCGCGCGTAATTATATTGCTGTCGCGACTGTGCGACGGGCGCCCGCAGTGAGAGTGCGAGGGCAACAGCAATCTGGTGGGGAGAGTCCCAAGTAACTCACATGGTCATCCCCATCGACCATTCAGGCTAGGGTGGTACACTGCAGGCTAGGATGGTACACTGCAGGCTAGGGTGGTACACTGTAGGCTAGGGTGGTACACTACAAGCTAGGGTGTACATACGTCCTGCGCACTAGAGCCGTGGTGCTGTGCGGAGTGGTCGAGGTGCGCATAGAGTTGTTGCAATACGTCGCGCAGTTTCTTGACTAGAGGCTAGGGTGGTGGAGTGCAGGCTAGGCTGGTACACCGCAGGCTAGGGTAGTACACTGCAGGCTAGGGTGGTACACTACAAGCTAGGGTGGTACACTGCAGGCTAGGGTGGTACACTACAAGCTAGGGTGGTACACTGCAGGCTAGGGTGGTACACTACAGGCTAAAGTGTACTTACGTCCTGCGCGCTGGATCCGTGATGCTGTGCGGAGTGGTCCAGATGCGCATAGAGTTGTTGCAGCACGTCGCGTAGCTTCTTCACGCTCTTGCGGGCGGGCACCAGCACTACGGCTTGGAAGTTCACGGGGAGGCCGTATCTGGAAGGTGTTATCAGGTCATGATTAAATTGCTATGTTATAGTCAAACCTCGAAGCTCAGGCGCTCCTAGGTTTGACTAGTCAATCCTCAGGTCTGACTAGAAGTCTTAGTCAAAGCCCAAACATTTCGGCCTTTGACTGAATAATGTTAGTCAAACCTAGGAGAAACTAATTTGGTCAGTCAAACGTCGAAACTCAATTTAATGAAATCGGTGTTTGACTAGTCAAACCTCAATTAAGACATTTAACTAACTATACTTGATTCTGACATCGAAGTTATTGCATAGGCTTTACGGTCGGTTTTCTCGCGCACACGCAGCTAATCTTTAGGTACCTAAAGGTACCAGTAACTAAGCTTATTTACTGCGGTTGTTTGTCAGTGTTTCTAGACCGATCTTGAAATTACTATTTTTAGGGTTCTGTACCTTGAAGATTTAAGGGTAAAAACGGGAACCTATTACTATGACTTCGCTGTTTGTCTGTCCACACCATGAACCATTCCCAAAATATTTAGTTTTATATACACTTTAAAAATAAGTAAACGTTCAAGGGGGGCTCCTATACAGCAAGCGTGATTTTTTGTCGTTTTTTGCTCAATATTAATAACGTCAACAGGACAGGTGAACGCTTGAAATATTCACATTAGGTTTTCTATAATTGCTGCCGGCCTCTGTAACGCCGCGTCTACCTTTGACCGAGTCTATCAGTCGGTTCTAGGATTGACTAGGCAAAGCCCGAAACAGATTATTTTCATTTCGACGTTTGACTGAACAGTTAGGAACTCCTAGGTTTGACTTAGTCAAAGGCCGAAATTGGAATTTATTTCGGGGTTGGCCCGAAAGCCTTGGTCAAACCTAGGATAGACCAGTCATTCCGCGAAGAGACTGCATATCGACCTTTGACAATGACAGCTATATTAACGGTTGAAACTGCTGACCAGTTTGGCTGCTTTCCACCGTGAAAGGAATAAATGCAGAAGGCAGGTGTCCGATTATCGATGAGAGACGTCGTAAAACTGCGCAACAAATCAACCAAACTGCAGCTATGCTAATTAAAAAAGTCACCAGTTGAGCTAGTTTCCGACAAATACTCCGTTCTTTATCTATTTCATTTCGCTCATCCCTCGATGCGAGGAGTCCCTTGGAAATTGATATCTTGGTGGAAGGTAAGAACTACGCTTACGCTAAGGCGCATGCACAAATCGCATATTTTGGATAGTTTTAGTTATAACTCACGTTTGAATACTTATCATTAGATAATCAACTACGTGCTACTACTACTAGCATGAGACGTCCACCTACAAGGTGGACCGACGACATCGTAAAGGTAGCAGGGAAGCGCTAGACACAGGCCGCTACCAATCGATCAACGTGGAAAGCATTAGGTGAGGCCTATGTTCAGCAGTGGACGTTTTATGGCTGAAATGATGATGATGATGGATCAACTACGATAGATTTAGAGATACTCTTTGATGCAGACCACACAAAACATTAAAAAAAAAACGTCGAAATCATACAATTTTGTCATAATTTTACTATAGCTAGCAAGCAATATCTATGATAAAATTAATTGACTCACCTTAGCACCGATTCGACGAACACACGGAGGGCTTTGACGTGGATCCAGGCGCAGAAGCATTCGGAGAAGTTCACCTTCAACCACCTCACCAGGGGACCCTGTGAAAGAGAAATTACAAAGTTTCATACAGGGTGTTCCATTATTCCAGGGCAATTAATTAAAAGTGAAGTCACTTAGCTCCTTTATAGGTTTTTATTTGGAAACGACTCTTTACTACCTACTTTTGGGTAAACTAGGAGGGATATCATTCAGTCCCTTCCGTAGACACTTTAGGATCCTATTCGATAGAACTCGAATCGGTTGGCCTTTGATAACCAACTTTACTCAAAGTGTCTAAGCCGGCCAGCGCTGCCTGCACCAGATAATCGATGCACTAAGTGGGAGACGGATCAAGGATCGTGATCGCAATTCGAAAACTTTTTGCCCCAGCCTCCATCATTTTGTCCCAAGATTTTCCACTAAACCCTTAAATATGCTAAATATTAAGTTGCATATACCGATTTTCCAGAAGATTACCCTCTCCAAGAGAACCAGCATCTTCGTTCCAGAGTATCTACATTCAATTATGACATTTTATGCCGCTAGATATAAGGTTGGATACTCACGAACTGCTTTTTCTTGTCAATAACGAGCTTGGTGATCTCATTCTTGCCTGCAGCCAGGTCGGCCTCGTTGTACGAGAACTCGCGAACGACGAACTTGCGCTCGCGAGCGTGCTCGCGAACGAACTTACGCTCGCGAGCGTGCAGCTTGTAATAGTAGTTTTAGCATTTATATTGGAATGTGGTCTTTACGCCCCAAGATATAAGTTTGAACACTCACGAACTGCTTCTTCTTGTCAGTAACGAGCTTGGTGATCTCGATCTTACGAGAACTCGCGAACGACGAACTCGCGCTCGCGAGCACGAACCTTGAACTCTTTCAACTAGTTCTAGCATCTAGATAAGAATGTGGCCTCTATGCCTCTAGATAATAAGATTGTAAACACTCATGAACTGCTTCGTCAACATCTAGATTGTACGTAACCTTTATTCAACGAGGACGAACGATGAACTTACGCTTGCGAGCGTGCAGATTGAACTGTTCTGCTCATCAAAAGAAGTACCATCTGAAAATTGACCTTTCTTCTCTAGATATAAGGTTGAACACTCACAAACTGCTTCTTCTTGTCAGTGACGAGCTTGATGATTTCGATCTTACGAGAACTCGCGAACGACAAACTTACGCTCGCGAGCGTGCTCGCGAGCGTGCTCGCGAACGATGAACTTACGCTCGCGAGCATGTACACACGACAGCACATCAGGCTACCCATTTTTGTTGCAAACTCGCCCCTATTACAACTGCACAAGAACCCACAGTGGTTACCTTGACGTGCCGTCGTCCGTACCTTCAATTCTTTCAACTGATTCTAGCATCTAGATAGGAATGTGCCCTTTATGCCCCTAGATATAAGTTTGAACACTCACAAACTGCTTCTTCTTGTCAGTAACGAGCTTGGTGATCTCGTTCTTGCCTGCAGCGAGGTCAGCCTCGTTGTACGAGAACTCGCGAACGACGAACTTGCGCTCGCGAGCGTGCGCGAACGACGAACTTACGCTCGCGAACGTGCAGCTTGAAGTAGTAGTTCTAGCATCTAGATAGTAATATGGCCTTTATGCCTATAGATATAAGGTTGAACACTCACTAACTGCTTCTTCTTGTCAGTGACGAGCTTGATGATCTCGATCTTACGAGAACTCGCGAACGGCAAATTTACGCTCGCGAGCGTGCTCGCGAACGATGAACTTACGCTCACGAGCGTGCAGCTTCAACTCTTACAGTTAATACTAGCATCTAGATAAGAATATAGCCTTTATGCCTCCAGTTATAAGGTTGTAAACACTTACGAACTGCTTCTTCTTGTCAGTGGCGAGCGCGAGCGTGCTCGCGAACGATGAACTTACGCTCGCGAGCATGTACCTTCAACTCTTTCAACTAATTCTAGCATCTAGATAGGAATGTGGCCTTTACGCCCCTAGACATAAGGTTGAACACTCACGAACTGCTTCTCCTTGTCAGTAACGAGCTTGGTGATCTCGATCTTACGAGAACTCGCGAACGACAAACTTACGCTCGCGAGCGTGCTCGCGAACGATGAACTCACGCTCGCGAGCTTCTAGATAGGAATGTAGCCTTTATACCCCTAGATATAAGGTTGGATACTTACGAACTGCTTCTTCTTGTCAGTAACGAGCTTGGTGATCTCGTTCTTGCCTGCAGCGAGGTCAGCCTCGTTGTACGAGAACTCGCGAACGACGAACTTGCGCTCGCGAGCGTGCAGCTTGAACTCTTCGACGACCTGCGAAGGAATAAATGTATAAAGTAAGTTTGACTATTGAAGGGTGAAAAAAGCTACTTATTGCTAGCTTATAGATCAATATGAAAAAAATGCATTTCCCATCATTCCCCTGAAGGGGGGAAAAATATTTTTCCCCGATGTGACTTTGGGAAGTATACCCAGTATACCCTGATAAAAAATGTTGCAATTCGCACCAAAGGAATATGTGTACGAGTGTTGTACATTCTGAGATGTTAACCCCTTAGATGACTGAATTTTTTTAAAGTAACTTTGTACCACACCTTTTTGCAAAATGACTACAAAATAAAATTTATAAAAAATGCAATTCACGAAGGCGAGTGAGCTTTACATGTGTGGTGGCTTGCTACTGTTCATTTTTCAGAAGTTTTGATAGATATTATGGTTATGTGCATTTACACGTTCACACACAAGTAAAGCTTAATCGCCTTCGTGAGTTGCAAGAACTATAACTAATAATTATGTATTTATACCTTCTTGAAGAGCGTGACGGTGAATAGGCCGTAGTCGTTGTCCTGGTAGATAAGCTGCGTAGAGCGCGGCACGATCATGTCTGTGATCTTTTCATAGTTGGCGTTCCAGTCGTTGAACATCGACCTGCGGCGGGGAAAGGGTTAAGAGTTTAAGGATTTGCCACACTGGATACATTCTGCGGTCAGGTCAAAGTGAACGCAGCCCGCATCATGTATAAACAAAATTGTCGATCAGTAGCTGTTGGGAACCGGTAGGTGGACCAACCTCTTTTGATATTTTTATCTATGTTTTTATACTTTTTTCACTCTTTTTGATACCTTTTGTTTCTAGTTTTTGAAATATATGTTTTTATAGCCAGGGCATTTAACGCAAAAATAAATCTTCATTTTAAACCGAAGATATTTTCTTATTTTCTTATTCGTAACAAAACTTCAACGACAACAAATCGCTGAATGCGATCCTATCGAGTAATCGTTCTATCGGAATGACCCTTATGAATACGGATTTAGAACTGTTTTTCTATGGGACGACGTAACTAAACGTCAATGACTACAAATCGCTGAGTTGCGATCCTATTGAGTAATCGTTCTATCAATATGAGCCTTGTGAATACGGATTTAGACCTGTTTTTAATGGGACGACTTCTGAACGTCAGCGAGATCTTGACTGTCAAAATACGTGAATTAGGCCACTGGGTAACGATCAACGGTCCGGGCAATGCAATCGTCACAAGGCAATCTGTCTGCTATGTGGTTTGCGTTAATTGCTCGCACATGTACTAAAGGTATGATGTAAAGACCGACAATGTTGTTCAAATTAACGATGCAGACTGCGTAAGTCAAAGGACCCGGGCTCGATTCCTAATAGGAATAACATTTCATGGTTTACTAGCTTTCCGCCCGCGTGCGTTTTGTCTGTCACAGAAAAACTTTTACGCGCGCGTGCGTGTTTCAAAAACCGGGATAAAAACTATCCTATGTCCTTTCCCGGGACTCAAACTATCTCTATGACAAATTTCATCAAAATCGATTCAGTGGTTTAGGCATGAAAGCAAGACAGACAGACAGACAAGAGTTACTTTCGCATTTATAAACAAACGACGACGACGAATGGATTTTGGACCCTAACACAAGGCAGTAAAGTTCAAAAGCACTCACTTGGGCACGATGACGAGCAGCGTGGTCAGGTACTCGCTGTCAAGGATGAAATGCTCCTTCTTCACCAGGTCCGCCAGGTTGCGGGTCAGCAAGCTGCCACTGAAAAGGAGAATCGACTTTGTTGACTGTGGCGTAAGGTATAAAGTGAAAGTAAAAATAGTCAGCCACGTTGTGTATCGGCAGAAGGCAAAGTCAAATGAAAAAATGTTTGGCTAGGTTACTAGTTAGCAGGCTGCAGCAAACGACAATCGACTTTATCGTCTGTTGCTTAGAGTACAAAACCATAAGGCGATGTATACGCATCAGTTCGCGAGCGAGACAACGAGTCTCTCTTCTCAGTATTTTGTCTCACTCGCTTGTCTTTGTCGCGGTGCGAACCGCCGCCTTTAACTATTACTTTGTATGTTTTGTACTGTACTAAATACTAAACTATACATCCATTAATTAATCAATTTGTAAATAGATTCCAACAAATAAAGGATACACGTCACACTCGCACCGTGCTAATTTTGGGACACCCTGTATTACTACTTACGTTTGTTTCTTTTCCAGGTTCTGCAAGTTGCCCTTGAGTGCGTTGTAGGCGGACGACTTGACCTTCAGATCCGCGTCGATCTGGCCCAGCTGTGGACATATGAGTTTAACATTAAAGACAAAGCCCATATCAGACTTATCAACTCGAAAAGAGTTCAACATTCAACACCGTATCCCCTTTCGCGCGCTGTTAATCGCGAGGCGAGGCGTTTACGTTACGGTGCGGATAAGTGTGCGTTGCAGTATGGAGTTTCATACAAATAATACTGACCGCCTCGAGTTGATACGGTTACGATCCCTTTCTGGGTTGATAAATGTGCGATGTCCTTAACATGGTCATAAACGAAAATTAAAGATCTACAATATTACTAATCAATTTTATAATAGCCGATTGTAGACTAGCTGACCCAGCGAACTTCGTGCCGCCCATGTTCGTCAGAAATAATGTAGGATTCTAATGCTGAAAGAATTTTTCAAATCGATCCAGTAGTTTCGGAGCCTATCCAACACAAAACAATCAAATCTTTCCTCTTTATAATATCAGTGTAGATATAATTATAGCTTTGCCATAGTAAACCCGCCTCTTTTAGTAAGGGCTGGGTCAAGGTCAACATTTGTGATGCCCAGGCATAGGCATTTTATTTCGTGTGTTAAGGGCAGTTTGAAGGTCAATTTCACTTGGCATACCTTTTTCCCGTACTCTATAGTTGTGAATATGTTAAAAAACAGCTGATTTCTTAACAACATACAGTATTAAAGAACCAGAGTAAAATTTAGCACATAGCTCGTAAAACTGATGGTCGTTAGGGCAGAAAAATTCTCAAGTGGCGTTGTTGCCACTTCAGACCGGAAAACCTAGTGTTAGGCCTTAGAATCGATGGACTGACGATTTAAATGTAGTATCAACCTTTTCTAACACTTCATCTGTATATGCCGTTTATGTATACAGGCAGTAATACTGTATATGTATATTTCATGTCACCGTGAAATTGTGAACTCCATCATGCATCTATTTTATAATATAACGCGTGAGATCTCCGAGTTAGATATATTGTTATTATCGGAATTGACAATTTTACGGTGACATATACACGTAATATTATTATGTACCTGTTTACTGCCCGCATCCAGGCTCTTCCCGCGACCTTTACCAGATCGTCGGTCCACCGTTCATTGTGGAAAACCTTGGGGGAGGCCTTTGTCCAGCAGTGGACGTCATTTGGCTGAAACGAACGAACGAACGAACCTGTTTACTGATGATGTCAGCGATGTTACGGAGGCTCTGCTTGATGGGGTACTTGGCCATATCCCACTGGAAGCGGGTTAGGTACGTGGGCAGGTCACCTGGAAAGTTACACAATATTGTTACATTTAGAATAACTGCAATATAGTTCCATATTGTTTGTATACAAAACAAGGTCAATATTGTATACAGTTCATTTGCTATGAAATAAATTATTATTTACATAAGTAAAAGGGTATTTTCATTTTAGACTGGAATTCGAAACATTACTTTTGAGTTCTGATTTTTAAAATGTATATTTAGAGATAGAATAAGTAATTATAATAATTATTAGACGTTACAATATTGACCTCGTATTTACAACTGAAAAGACATTTATGTCCCACATTCATCATAAAATAACGTTGGCATATTTAGGAAATTATTAAAAAAAACAAAAAAAAAAGGCGATTTTAAATCTAAAAAGTTTTAGGTGAAACATAAAATAAGTGCTACAACTAAAACAAAAAAAAGGTTATAAAAAACTAAATCTAAAGAAAGGACTAGCATCAAATGTGCAATAACATACAACATATTAACAGTCATAGCGTTTGTCAAACTTAAAATAAAATAACATGCAACATCGATTCTCATGCATATAAAGTCATGCAATCATTTATACTATGACAAGTTACACAATACTATCTAACGTCAATGCAAAGCAGATATACACGGCTAAATGACTTTTGTTTGCAGTTTTTTTCTATTACCTTTACTGTAAAAAGAAACGATAAAGGATTTGGGAGTTGTTTACAAACATTTTAAAACTCAGATTACTTATTTGTCTAGCTAAAACATTTTTATATGCTTTTAACTGAAATTACATTTTATTACATCAAACACATGAAAGTAATGGAAATATAACATAAACAAAAGTGTGAATTGTAATATATTCACGAAAATATTTATATAGTTTGTTGATTCTTGATCCATAAAATATCAAAGAGTATCCGGTAGCTGGCTAAAATCAAACACCCACGAATATCAAGGCCACAGAACGTCATTGTTATAAATTAAGATTTATTATTAGTCGTAAACAATAACTCATTTTGACCTAGAAAGATTCCACCAATAACTGTTCGAAAATAAATATTATACTCGCCATAAAACCGTTTTAAGTCGTGAAAATATTAAATAAAATACATACATATTACAGAAACAGAAAACACAACGACAATATTGAAAAAAAAAATCAAAACAAAGCAAAATAAAAAATAACTTAAGCTACGTTGAAATAACATTTATAAGACAAGCGGCGACGGCATTCTTCAGGAAACTTTTTTGTATATAATTAAGAAATTTTGTATATTACAAGTCTTAAAAGTGGTAAAATGTTTCTCGGAATGCCTCCTCAGGTTAACTACACATTTCAGTAGCTGTATACTTATAAGCTCTTGCAGACAAGGTGTGGTAAGACGTATTCGGTGGGTTATTAGCTGTGACAACAAGAGCGTCACCCTAAACTTTTGGGTTACATTGTATTTTTAAGCAAAAATTCAGGATGGCGCTACCAATTTTACTCATACGGCCAGCGCCACCGGCTTAGTTATCATTTTAATCTCCTAGAGCTAAAAAAAAGTATAAAATGTTTAACAATGTCTTCCTAATTCAATTTACAACTATCTATGCCAGCTCATAAGTCAGGCGATCACTCGCTGACGTTGACTCGAGATGATTAGTGTTCGCAATCACTGCCTCACGTAATAACTAGACAAATTAAATGCAGGCAGCGCTGTACGTAATCGGGATATACAAGCCTACCGATTTTTACAGGTCCTAATTTTGAACTGCATTTGAGGTGTTAGCTTTCTTTAGATGCAGCGGTTATCGCGCGGTTCCGAAGTAGTTCTCATACGTGTGTATTGATGTATGATGCAATGCATCCAGAAATTATGATAGTGGGTTGAATGAAACCGTATGTAGCTGGTAGCTGTCAAGTTCTCAAGATTGATTGCCGAATTCCTGTGACTTTTTATGCTTAATTATGCTTGTGTTACGAGTGGATTCACCACAATAGTCCAGCGGCGGCGGTGTTTGAACCAGCATTCCTCGGATCTCAAGTCAGCTAGTCAGATACCTACACCGTTCGGCTATTGTCGTTCGTATGGTAGTCGAACAATACGCAACTGCTCAGGGAACGCACGATCAACGCAGCATCCGAAAACGTCAACCTCAAAAGCGGTTCAACGTCAGAGTTACGGGTGAGTTTGGCCTAAACCTTGGGTGAGGACGTGGTGGTGTCTTTCTTCCTCGTCCTCTTCGTCCCAGCGGGGCGAGCTGCGTCCGCTGGAGGGCTGCGAGGGCTGGGAAGCCTCGCACTCTGAGTGCTCCCGGTGCTCGCACGGCCAACAGCCGTGGTGTTCCGAAAACGCCGAGTCACAGACGGGCGACGTCGGCGTGGGGGGTGGCTCCCCTCCGCCCGGGTCGGCGTACGAGTCGATGCCTAGATCCGGCAGATTTTGTCTGACATATAGTTAACAACACTCCAGTGTCCGTTATCTCCAGTATTTTATTTCTATATCCTCATAAAACTTCATAAATGATGATCCCGGTTTATGAGTTATGCTATTTAAATCACGCCAGACCAGGGCGTTACGAAATATTGTAAACCATCAATCCTGCTTTAACTTCTCGACTTTATAGACCGTTAACGCCTCACGTTATAATAAATTGGGGCAAATAAAATAGGATAATAATAGTACAGGACAGGAGCAAATCAATAAAAATAAAAATCCATGTTATTGTGAAGAACCAAAATATAAAAAAGATAATAATATAAGAATAAAAAGCGCTATGCATAGACAACATTTTAAAAGCTTGTATGGCTAAGCTATGAATGTCTTGTGAGGCAGTGATTGCGATTTATCTATGGTATGGATATATAACGATAATATAATCTTAACTTATCAGTTATCTGCGACACAAAAATAAAGCTGATCTAACATGAACTTGGATACATAGACGTGACCTTAACGCTACAGTATACATTTGTTTTAATACTTGATATTATGCAACACCTTTTAATATTAAGATAAGTCGCTTTTTCATATTTTCATGGCCAGGAACTATAACTATAGAAAATACAATGCAAAATCGCAACATTCCTTTAAAATTATGATAAAGCATTTTTGATGAAAAGGCGACTTTTTCATATTAATGCAACTATTATCAATTAACACTTAGTATTTGTGAGACACGTACTACGGATAAACTTTGATTTATCTTTACGATTGTATCTAAAATAACGCAATAAAATAAGAAAAAGAAAATTATATAAAATTTTGTTTTGGATTTTCTTTCTTTCTTCCGAATATCCAAAATATTTGATCGTTTTAAATAAATAGAAATGTTGTAATATCAATAAGTAATAGAAGTAGAATAAACATTTGAATTACGTTTAACGTAATTTAATTAACAAAACGCTAAATTATTATGATAAATAACTATGTGCATTAAAATCAATTAGGGTTAGTACCTAGTTGATTTTAATGTAACATTTGATTGTAATCTAAACTAAGCGTAACATCATCAAATATTGGTATTTCTTTAAATATTAAAATTAGAATTGTAGAAGAAAGAATAAGAATTAATGTAATAGATTGTCTTATCGATTTTTTAAAAGAATCTATTAAATTAGAAACTCAGAAATCAATTGAACATATTTATGGCGATTGTCAATTACATTTTCAAAAGCGTTAACATAATAAAAAATGCAAATAAAAACATTAATTATGTTTATAATAATATACATGAACTATCTTTGATGTAGTTATAACTTATAAATATAATATAATAATATATACAATATTATATTATACATAATTTGCTTATTTATTCACTGCACCGCGAAAGCACAACGGAAGCTCGCACGATTACATATACCTCGAAGCTTTACATATACTAGAAATATTACTCACATCCGAAAAATTTTTTCCACTTTTCAGACACTGAAATGCAATCCCAAATTCTAACATTCTCAGGCATGAAGTGTTAAAATCTAAATACCAGAACCAGACATTATAATAATTAAATCCAAAAGAATAAAAAAATACTAGAATTTCTAATAAAAAGCGACGATTTCGAAATATTATTATCTATTTCTTTTATAACAAAAAAAAAGTATAAAACGATCGAATAAAACCAATTTTCTTCGAAACTTCCATTCCGTTCCATTAAATAAATAAATTAATGACGATGGCGAATGTGTGTAATAAAACGTAGAAATCAACGAATATGAAAACTAACGATACCGCGAGCCACCAGTCTGCTTGTGACCACGGATGTAGAAATAGCCGAAACGTCAAGCTGTAAGTTCTCATGTAAGTAATTCATAAAATATCGCGTTGAGGCCTAGTTTACTCTATTTTAAATGTAGAGTTCAGTCCGAGAAATCTACAATATTTTGTTTGCGTACTGCAAACCTCTTGACTCCCACGATGATATACCGGATCAATAGTGACTGTTACAACACATAAATATACTGTTTGTACAAAATATACATTCCATAACAACTATATACATTTCACACAATATTCAGATGCAGTGTGCGGAGGTTCAAGATAGTCTCACGTAAATGAACCTCGAGTAAAACAATAAATAATAAAAAAATCAATCGAACAAACACTGTCCACTTAACATTCTTAGCCTCAGCTTTTAAGTTACATCATGTTGAAGTTAAGAAATATTAGAATATTCAACGAATCTTTTAATGTAATAAAATATTTCTGTAGATATACAAATTCAAGTAAGCTACTATATTGTATAATACACTGATTTAGTGAAACAATAGTTAGCTCAGTGCATATTAATATGTTGATGGAGCGAAACGAGTATGAAATTAATACTCGAAAATTAAAATACATATTGTATTGATAAAATGTTCTTAATAACTACTGCAATAGTCTAATTTCAAACAACATAATATACTATGACTTTTTCAAATATTAAATAATTTTACACTAAAGATTCGTTGATATTATCTGTGTAATATACATTTATTTACATTAAATAGGGTGCTTTAAATGTGATAAAAAGGAGAAATGTATTGTGTTAATGTGTGACATGTTTTACAAATATATAAAAAATATATAACTTTTAGTTGTGCAATAATAGTTGTTTGATTGCAAATAATATAAAATACACAAAATAAAACTGACTATTCGATACGCATGATAGTCAGAGTGGAGAAATTAACAAACATGCAAATTATATGAAGAAAACAAAAAAGAAAATAACAAAAAAATAGGTAGAATGAAAATAAATAAAGACATAATTCAGTAACCACCGAAACTTAGCAATACATGCTTAGATCTTTCGCACTACTCTGTGCTTTTAATTGTTTCATATTTCTACTTCACTTTAATCTTTTCTAGTATTAAAATTAGTTTTCCATGCTAGCAACATCATAGGCCGTAGCTTATTTCTCGTCTATATTTCCCAAACATGCTATCTTAGTTTAAATCTAAATTCCAATTCGTCTCTCATGCAAAATAATTTTTAAATTATCAATTTAGAAAAATAAAATCTATCAGTTTTATCTGTGACATCTATTTGTTTAATTCCTTATTTATTTAGATTTAAATGGCACTAAACACTACAGTTTGCTGACGATGGGAGAAAATGTGTAAATTAGAAGTTTTATTGAGTCGTAAAGAAACGTAAAATGTTTAGAGCCATGTAAAAAGTGTTAACACGAATGAATGGAGTGGGACTTACTGTTGTTTGCCATCAAGTTTTCATGGAGCTTGTCGCGCTGATCTTCAAGTACCTGATGACAAATAATCACTCATAAAACACAAATCTCAAAATGATGCAGGACTCGACTCGGTCAGCACTCCCCGTTACATCGCATGTGTACTTGCTACAATTCTATGCGTTTTGTCTTTGACATCTTTTTTGGTTCTCTCGTCTCCGCCAAGCGCCGTATCAATACGGCTATTCTTGATTTAAAATAGTCTAAAATTAGTCCAAATTTTGTTTAGTTCTGTGTAAATGTAAGATCTGGTTTATATGTGTAATATTCTTAATTTAAGGTGGTTTAATTAATTATTTTTATATGCATGTTGTGCTTACATCGAGTAGGGTAAATCAGTATGAATTGATTTGACACTCATTACTAGACATCGGATTATATGCATTTGCATTATTGCATATGCAAATGCATATAATGCTATTTTTATAGCGTTATTGCATATTTTGGTACTTTTTCATTGACAGTGCTTATTTTAGTATTTATACGTGTTAGACGTGTTGTACTTCGCCGCCGTCCCCACGCCAAACATCAACACATCGCCCTCGCACGTACTGCGAGAACGCATTGAGAGCGATCCATACCAGTGTTGCCAGAGAAATTACCAGAAATATAAAAAAATGTAACCTTTTTGAATAAAAAGTAACCTTCATACGGGGGGGAGGGGGGGGTTGCGGAGCGAAAATGAATGACCATTCCATGAAGACCGAAAAGTGACCGGTCGTATAAAAACGTTTCCTGGATTTGCGTTTTATTATCGAAAAACATTCGCTAAAATTCATTTTTTTTAACAAACAATAAATCAAATTCATGTTAAAATGCAAATTAAATGCTGTTTTGTATAAAAATCCGTGTCTCGAAGAAATAAAAAAAGTTAACGCATTTATCAACGGCACCAGTCAAATTCTGCCTGAAGAGGTCTCGGCAGAAATGGCGCCAAATTTTAAGTTCTGTCCGGTAACGTCAGTGGACGTTGAAAGGTCATTTTCAGCATATTAATTAGTTTTAAGTGACAAACGTCACAAATTTGCGCCAGAAAACCTTGAAAAATATGTTATTGTATATTGTCACAAGAATTACAACCAATAAGTACCTAATAATTAATTAATTATGTATTGTGAAAATAAAGTTAATTCTAATAATGTTTTTTGATTGTGCATATTTTGTGCATATTTCGCCCTTTTTTAGTGCATATTTGCATGCATATTTTGGCATTTTGATAGTGCATATAATCCGATGTCTACTCATTACTTACTTTTGCATGATATTTGATTGTACCCAGTTTTGTAAGCCAAAAAAAAAAAAAAAAAAAAAAAAAAAATACTTTTATAAATTAAAAATTGAAAGAATTGTAGTATTAGTGCACATTGTGCAATAATTATGCATGTTACATAGCTTCTTCAGAACTGTGTTTAAATCAAATTCACTGGCATGGATCCAAATAAAGGTTGCAGTTCTTCTTTGTAAGACAACTCAAATTATCTAATAGAGAAAAAGTACTGCACTTTTGCATAGGGGATTGTAATTATGTAACAGGGTAGTAAAATTTCTTCTAACATTCTTGACTATGACTATGACTATATTGTATTATTTTGGAATACAGAGTCATTTAAGTATTTTGTTTTTATTACAATAAGGGCCGATTTTTCAATCGTCAGTTAACTTTTATCTGAAGAATAAACTTGTCATTTTGACATATTTCTCATACTAAAACTGTCAATGTGCCAAACTTATTCCTCAGTTAAAAGTTATCCAACGATTGAAAAATCAGCCCTAAGTTGTTTGCACAAAACAAAATACTTTAAGAAGAAAATAAAGTATTTGAGACTTACCTCACCAAGGTACTGAGCCACCTTCCTTGTGACACCTTCAACGAAGGTATCGAGCTTACCCAGATCATCGGACAACCCGACCAACTGATCCAGAGTTCCGACCTGTAAATGAAAAGTGATGACGTTTAATTCAATAGTTATGGAATACAGAAACATTTATTTCTTTTAATTTTTCAATACATTCAATATATTACGTTCAGTTATTTAATTTTATTATTGAATGTGAATAATAAATGCAATAACAAATCTAAAATGTTTTTTAAAATAAACCAGATAATTTTGCATACATTCAAGGCACATAATATTTTTGTAATTTGGTTACCATTTAATCATTATTTATTGAATATAATTTACATTTAAAATATTAAAATAATCTACCTACATTCTTAGAATTGGAGTGATGCACTAAAATAACAATTTACATAATATAATGTCAAACAGAATGAAGAAAATATTGGCATTATGACAAATACTGTTTAGTAGTATGTTTGTATATTTTAATTGTTGTGTTGGTACCTATCATCCTTAATTAACACACCAAATTAATGAATGTGTAACTAGATAACATTATCAATATGATCACAACTTCTGAAATAAAAATAGAAACGGTAGTAATATTCTCACATGTAATAAACTTATTAAACTTGATTTAGATATGGCAACTTTTATAAAATTAATTGTATAATTACAGGTAACACAGTCAAGGACCAATTTATTACAGAACTGGACTATTATATCATTATTTGATAGGTCTTAGATAGATATTATAAAGAGGAAAGATTTGTATGTTTGTAACAAGTAAACTCTTCATAATAATAATAAGGTGTATTTTAACGGTCCAAGTTAAATAGGTTGAAATGAAGAAGCCACATACCTTCAGGTCAGGAATAGGGAATTTGTAGTTGACACTAAGGTTGCCAGATTTGGTGGCATTGTTCAGGGTGTCCCATGTTTGCTGGCACGTCTTGTCGCCTGGCGCACTGATTACCCAGTACTCCGACATTTTCACCACTGAAAAAACAACATACACCAGTCAAAATCAATGCAGTCCCGGCTTATAATCAAGAGAATTAAGTTATCACCATCACCGCCACATCTCTATTTACGCCACAACTAAACACCATGGGACGAAAAATCGATTATGCAGCTCCAAAACTCATGTCTTTGGCGCACGGGAACCAAGAACGGTGTGATGTTTCCAGCTCTAATTATGACTAGCGGGGGAGGACTATGAATCAATACCTAGCCAAGGCGGTCGGCGCCCGCTTGGCGGTCAGACTTCCCGGCGCCCGACTCCTATTATCCCATGATTACACCCCAAACCACCCCACAGTACGTCCGTCATCGTAACTTTGACACTTTCCTGTCCCGCGCAAAAGCCCTACGCGGCCTTATCGTTAACACCACACGGACAAACAATCCACGGTACTCACCTAGAACTTAAAGTATAATGCTGTTTAACAATAAATATTCGAAACAGCAAATAATTTGGCGAAATCACAAGACAATTCGGGACTAGCCCTTCAGCGCCATGAAAATTCACGTGATGCGGTGCTGCCACCTACAACGACTGATCAGACAGCTGATTTACGTCAATTGTCTATGAATGGCTATGGCAGGAATTTTTAAAAATATTCAAAATAGTTTGAAAGTTCCTGGATTTCTCAGAAGAAGTCAGAAGAAATTCTAATTTAATTAAAATGATTCAATTTATAAGCAAATTATTATAACACTAGCTGACCCGGCGAACTTCGTACCGCCTTAGCGTAGAGATTTTCTTAATATTTTTTTCCGTAAGAACCATCCTTGGACTTCCACAAACATTTAAAAAAAAGAATTATCGAAATCGGTTCAGCCGTTCACACGTGATGCCGTGACAACGCGAAACGGGTTTCATTTTTATATATATATAGATTCACAAATGTTAAACAAAACGACAAGATTTTTAGCTCAATTTTATGTATTAAGAATTATTGTCATTGGATAAAAAACTTTATTTATAATATTATATTTCATTATAATTAATATTATACATTTCGTAAAATATATCGTAACAGACAGATATCAATATTTTGATCTTATTGCGGCATCATGCGACTTTTAAAGTGTTTTTTGAGATAAATCTATACTTATTTTAAGTTCTATTTATTGATTTGAAGTTTGTTTTATAAATTATAATAAATGAAAACAATATTGTTCTGTTTAATTTCATCCGTTTGTACTAAGCGTTTGTATTTGTTATAAAACTTTGAAAAACACAACAGAAGTCATAGAGAAAAATAGTGGATTAAAAATATTGTTTCAAATCTATAAAATAATCAAAGAAAAAATATTTATAAAAAAAAACACCTGTCAGTGTGTCATTTTGGCTGTCAAAATCTGTGTTTAGGTTACGAAACGAGAAAATGCGAATATTTGGTTATTTAGCAAAAAAAGTCGGTGACCTCACCGTAAAATATTCAAATCTCCCCGAATCCTACATCAAAAGAAGCTTTGAGCAGGTTGTGATCAAATTTGTGGCATCAAATTGGTTACTTTGGGAACATAACCTATAAAGTTTGTTTTTGTTTTCTAGGTCTATTGGAAGAATCCCACTGGGTATCCTCAGTATCCGAAGGCTGTAATAGCTCGTAAGCGTTTCAGGTTCACGACGAATAGACCGTGGACTGGCCAGTTTCGCCAGCAAAACGATAGAGATACTCATAGGAAAAAGGTGTTTTTGGAGCCTATTGGGGAATGGAGCTTCTTCCGGTAAGGTTTATTTAGTTTTAAATTAAACACCGACTTTGTCATCGATAAATATTACGCATAACGTGTACCTACCGTGGTATTAAAAAGATTTCAAGGCTATGAGTAGGTATCAATTTTATTCTTTTAGGTCAATGTTAAAGGTATCCAATGTATATGTAATTAAACAAATATAAAATGTGCTGATAATTTTCAACCCTACTATGCCAACTAAAGTGTTTTATTTAGTTTACAAAATCTATTGTGTTCTATAATAAATAATCTATTGAGTTTGTTCCGGCGTTTCTTCTCAGCACTTGCCATATGTTTGTCTCGAAGTGCTGGTAGGGCTCAAAAGATAGAGACACCCCCATAAGGGCTACCTTTTCTTATTTATTATTTACTATATTTTGACGTTCATAAGTGCCACTTGTGGTCTAGACTGAATAAATATTTTTGATTTCGATTTTATTACAAAGTTTTCAGAATGTAGACTAAATTTACTGTTGTTTTGACTTCCAGCGGAGACCGAGTGGAGGTGATGGTCGGCAAGGACAAAGGCAAGCAGGGCATCATCACACAGGTCATACAGGAGAGGAACTGGGTCATCGTAGAGGGCCTCAACACTCATCTGAGGACTGTAAGATGTTACTTTAGAACTTAGCTTATTCTTCGAGGTTTTTAACACTTTAACCCATTATATTTTAGTGGTAGACCGTATTTTGGAATTTTTGCAGATTACTTTAGATAAAAAATATAAAATTTGTATACTTTACAGGAGTTAATCCTATAATTGACAAACATAGCAAGTCAAAACTTTTCATTGTTGAACCTTTACAGCCATGTCAAACACCTTGCCATTGTAAAAGAAATGAGGTTTGTAGTTGAAAGGTTGTTGTTAAAAAACTATACTTTTACTTAGGTTGAGTTGCACCATGTAACATTAACAAACGTCAGAAATCTGTCGAACTGCATACAAAAAACACCGGTTATTGTTAGTTACGGGTAATATAAGTTGGTGTAATTCAGTCTTAGGTATGCTACACACGTGCCACCGGCTATAGTCACAAAACGCCGCCGCGGCATATTTACTACATTTTCTTGTGGCGGCGTTTCGTGGTTGTGCTTGTGGCCGGTGGTCCGTGTGCGGTGACCCTAAGAGCGATTTCGATTTAGCAGCGCGACAAACGCGCGTCAGACGCGCTGTTGAAAATTCCATGTGACAGCTGATTTCAAAAACGCTGCTGCCGTTTGCTGTCGCGCTACTAACGCCCTAATGTGAATACGCTGATACGCTCTTATAATGTGAAGCCATGCATCCACTGTCACATAGTATGAAATTTTCCGCAGCGCGTCTGTTGCGCGTTTGTCGCGCTGCTAAATCGCCTAAATGTAAAAGCGCTCTTACAGTAAAAGTAGAAGTTTGTACAAGTTTCTGCATTGTTTGTTACCTATAACATGCATGCATTTTGGAGTATTAATTGTGCTACGAAAATTCTAGGGTCACCTTGTCAGTTGTCACTAAAGGTTAAGAAAGACGTCACTGAACATCATAGGAATATTGTATGTAATATCCCACCTAATATTATAAATGCGAAAGTAACTCTGTCTGTCTGTCTGTCTGTTACGCTTTCCCGCTTAAACCTCGCAACCGATTTTGATGAAATTTGGCATAGAGATAGTTTGAGTCCCGGGAAAGAACATAGGATAGTAGAATAGCAAATCCATTGTATTCAAAATCTTAAGTGCAAATTGTAGTTTTCAAATTAATCATCTTTGTATTCTATAGAACTCGGCGGGGATCGAACCCGCGTTCCCTGGTTCACGTGTAGGCCAGTCCGACACCTTCACCATTCGTTTACCGTTGATTCGATTTTATACTTATCATGTCTTCCAGGTGGGCAAAGATAAGAACTTCCCCGGCGTGGTGATCCAGTCCGAAGCGCCTCTGCTGGTCACGACGGGAGTCAAACTGGTGGACCCCGAGACTTTGAAGCCTACTGAGATTGAGTGGCGGTACACGGAGGAGGGAGACAAGGTGAGATGGTTTAATATACATAATTATGTCAACGTGAAATTGTGAACTCTGTCAGTTTATAATATAACGCGTTAGATTGTAAACTAACAGTGGGTTAGGTTAGATTGTAATTTAACTACGTCAGATTTTAATCTGACGGAATTCACATTTTAAGAGACATTATAGAGACTAGCGGCCGCCCGCGACTTCGTACGCGTGGATCCCGTTTTACCCCCTTAGGGGTGGAGTTTCGTAAAATCCTTTCTTACCGGAATGCCTACGTTATAACATCTACCTGCATGCCAAATTTCAGCCCGATCCGTCCAGTGGTTTGGGCTGTGTGTTGATATACATAGTATATATTTAAATAGATATCATGTGAATAAATACTGGGGTGCCATTTGTAATGAGGGCTATCGTTTTTATACTTAACAGTTGGCACCCCTGGCGATTGACAGGACCTTACTCTACAGTGGCGCCATCTTGATGAGTGCAAATGCGATAGTCCTCCTACCACTTTAGCGCTCACCAGTTGGCGCCACTGTCTTCGCTACTAGCAAGTGACAGGACCTTACTCTACAGTGGCGCTGACTGGTGAGCGCTAAACGATAGCCCTCATTGTATTAGATGCGATTTTGCATTAAAAAATAATTTATCTAGCTGTTTACGATGAACTTACGAACTAAATGCTTTCTTCTAGTAGTAGTATATGCTAGCACCCATAACACAATCATATTAGTTGCTTACTTTGGGGCTAGATAGCGCTGTGTGAAATTGTCTAAAGATTAATTTATTCTTCCTTTCTTTCTCGATTGAATTAAAGAGGTAATAAACTTCTTACTTCTTACCCATAATTCAAAGGTAAGCTTAAATATCGAGTTTTACTTATAGTCCACTTCCCGAGTGGCGACCACGGGCCGGAAGACATAGTGTGGGCAATGGGAATGCCCCCCACTACGTGGACCGATGATCTAGTGAAAGTCGCAGGAGGTGCCTAGATGCGGGCGGCACGAACCCGTCATTGTGGAAATCCTTGGGGGAGGCCTTTGTCCAGCAGTGGACGTCATCATCATCATCATCATCATCATCATTTCAGCCATAGGACGTCCACTGCTGAACATAGGCCTCCCCCAATGCTTTCCACGTTGATCGATTGGTAGCGGCCTGCGTCCAGCGCTTCCCTCCTACCTTTACGATGTCATCGGTCCACCTTGTAGGTGGACGTCCCACGCTGCGTTTTCCGGTACGCGGCCTCCATTCCAGAACCTTGCTGCCCCATCGGCCGTCAGTTCTGCGTACTATGTGCCCTGCCCATTGCCACTTCAGCTTGCTAATCCGTCGGGCTATGTCAGCGACTTTAGTTCGTTTACGGATTTCCTCATTTCTGATTCATGTTAAGTGGACGGCATTTGACTGAAACAAACTAAATGGCAATGCCAGATTTTGTATGGAAGGTGGCGTCTTTTTTTTTCGCGCGGCCATCGACCAAACTTTGATTTTTGATTACAAAATAGTGTAATAAACCAAACTTACTATGGCATGTATACCTCTAAACTCAGTCTGAACTGAGTTACGAGCATTAGAAGTTTAATGATTTTCATACTAGATTTGCTTTTTGCGCGCAAGTTTTGTAAGAAATTGCAACAAAATAATGACATTGTATGTGTAAACAAACAATACCATCCATTAAAAGTTCCAGACATCAGTATGCAGCAGAATCAGCGCAATATTTTGTTGCAATTTCTTATAAAACTTGCGCGCAAACAGCAAATCTAGTATGAAAATCATCAAACTTCTGATGCTCTTAACTCAGTTCAGACTGAGTTTAGAGGTATACATGT